CCTCCTCCTCCTCCTCCTCCGCCTCCTCCTCCTCCTCTTACGCCTTCTCCTCCTCCTCCTCCTCCTCATCCTCCTCCTCCTCCTCCTACGCATTCGTCTCCTCCTTCTCCTCCTCCTTTGACTGCGCCTCCTCCTCCGCTGCCTCCTCCTTCTCCTCCTCCTCCTCCTACTGCGCCTTCTCCTCCTCCTCCTCCTCCTCCTCCTCCTCCTCCTCATCATCATCATCATCGTCATCATCATCATCATCATCAGCATCAGCATCAGCATCAGCATCAGCATCAGCATCAGCATCAGCATCAGCATCAGCATCAGCATCAGCATCAGCATCAGCATCATCATCATCATCATCATCATCATCATCATCATCATCATCATCAGCATCATCATCAGCATCAGCATCAGCATCAGCATCAGCATCATCATCATCATCATCATCATCATCATCATCATCATCATCAGCAATCATCATCATCATCATCATCATCATCATCATCATCATCATCATCATCATCATCATCATCATCATCATCATCATCATCATCATCATCATCATCCGTCTCCTCCTCCTCTAATGCTCCTCCTCCTCCTCTACGCCTCATCCTTCGCCTCTTACGCCTCCTCCTCCTCCTCCTCCTCCTCCTCCTCCTACGCCTCCTCCTACGCCTCCTGCTCCTCCTCCCTCTCCTCCTCCTGCTTCGCCTCCTCCTCCTACGCCTCCTCCTCCTCCTCCTCCTCCTCGTCCTTCTCATGCTCCTCCTCCTTCTCCTTCTCCTCCTTCTCCTCCTCCGCCGCCTCCTCCTCCTCTCAGGAACTAAAAAGGCATGGGGGAATAGAGAAGCGAAGCGGGGGATACTGCGGGCAAGAGAGGGTGTGTGCGGGCAGGGAGCACGCGCTTGATTTTGAAAGTGGATACGCCAGCATCTGCTTGGTAGGAGGGAGGACAGACGAGCAGCAGTACGGGGGCGTGGGGCACAGGCGATGACGGCATACCGGGCAAGACATCGGGGTTCGACGAAACAAGCTTTTCAATGAAACTCCCGTCGGCCGCTCCCCGGAAAAAGGTGAAGTGGCAGGAGGAGGAGGAGGGGAGGGAGGAGAAGGATGGAACGTCACAGAGAAGAGGCGGAGGAGGCGGAGGGGAAGGAACGGTAAGAAAGGGAAGGAGGATGAGGAGGAGGTGGAGGGATTGCACGGCACCGAGGGGAGAGAGATGGAGGAGGAGGGAATGGGAGGGGTAGGAGGGGGAGGGGGAGGAGGAGAGGAGGAGGAGGAGGAGGAGGAGGAGGAGGAGGAGGAGGAGGAAGAGGAGGAGGAGGCGCCACATGGGTTCGCCAGACTAGCCACGCCCGCATGTCAGACCACCCCCACGCGCAGCTGGTCACACACACACGCACACACACACGCGCGCGCGCATCGCGGCAAGCGCGCGCAGGGTCGGGCGGATCCTGAGATCCGCCGTTGCGGAAGAGCTGCGACAAAAATCACGACCAGGGACCCAGAACGCATCGTTCCGCGGGAGTGCTCGAGCGAGACGTGATGGCCCCGGGGCCCGGAGGCGGGCAGAGGCGCCCGGCGTGACAGGAGGGCCACGCCCGGATCCCCCGGGGGGCCGTCGGCTCGCGGGACCCCCTTCCCATGCGCCCGCCAGAAGTGCTGGTACACCACGCACCGCTCGCTGAGCAGGGCCGGGACGTAGGAGAACTCGCTCTTGGCCGTGAGCAGCACGTCGGCGTGGACAAAGTGGGCCCACGCCTCGGGCCGCGCGAGGGGCGGCCGCCCCCCCCCGCCCCACGGAGCGGCGGCCCGGGAAGCCGCCACCGAGGGGGGCCTCGGCGAGGGCGCCAAGGAGCACCCCGAAGAGGGGCCAGCCAGGAACAGCAGCCCCTGAGCTTCTCCAGACCCTGTCGCGTGTCCTTGCGGTAAGAAAGGATCTCTTGCTCGCCTCCTCGGGCGACTGAGGCCGCGCGACGGCCCGAGAGCCCTCCGAGAGAGCCCGAAGAAGCCCCATGGCTGGATTCAACTAGCCCGGGAGCCTGGCCGCCAACGGACATCGTCATGGCGCTTCTGCAGGAGCCCGGGTCCAGAAGCCCAGGAGAAGATATCCCCGTCGACCGAAACCGGCCCACTGCTTTCGCCCATTGTTTTTTATGCCCGCGGACCCCTTTCCGTGCAAACGCCGATTGGGGAACATCCGCAAGGAGTCCCTCAGTGCAAGCAATGCTTGGGAACTGGCCCAACCTCTGTGGACACGCGAGCACACACACACACAAGCGCACACGGACACGCTAACGCAACCACGCACGCACATGTACACACACACACACGCGCACGCACAAACACAAACACATGCACGCACAAACACGTTCGTTAACGCACGCACACGCACACACAAACACACCATGCACACTCACACACAAGCCCACACGCACACGCAAACGAATGCACGCATACAAACATACATACATATGTACCGATATACACACGCAACACACCCACGCGA